TTTAGAGAGAGAGGGAGAGAGAGATAGAAACATCAATGAGAGAAAACATCGACTGGCCACCTCCGGCATGCCCCACACTGGGGTTTGGGCCACATCCTGGGCATGTGTCCTGACCAGAAATTGAACCGGCAACCTCTTGGTGCATGTGTCGATGCTCAGCCACTGAGCCACACCTGCCGGACGCATGCGGTTGTTTATTAAAATGAGATAATGGAATTGAAATTGCTTTGTAATTCAAAAAGAGCATGTAAACTAGCTTTTGTATTGAAGTTTTGGGTTATTATTACGAGTGGTATTTAAAAGGAGACCCAGAGAGCAGAGGAAGCACAGAAGTTATGTTAAAGTGAAGAGAAACAGACAGAAATCACTCTGATAGAAGCAGACCCTCAACCGTCATAAAGGCAAAGCCCTTCATAGGTGGGAACTCAAGTGCTAGACCACAGGGCAGAACCACATATTGGTTAAGAACAAAGTCTTCAAAGTAGGGCTGAGTAAAACCTGAGCTACTACTAGATCATTGACTTTAGATCAGTAATGTATTAAAAGGCTCACTACTCTCAGCTAGAATATGAGGATAAAAATTGTATCTACCTCTTAGGTAAGGGTGAGGATTAAATGAGATTCACTCATTCTTCCAATAAATATGTATTAACTGTTATGTGCCAGACATTGTTCTTGGCACTGGGGGCACAGCAGTGAATAAGATACAAAAGTTGCTTTCAATCTAGTGGAAAGGCAACATGATAAACAAACAAATAGGTAATATAGTATTAGGTTATAAAATAATCTGGGAAGAAAATTGAGGCAGAGTCAGGTAAGAGTTGGGCAGGGCAGTATCTGAGTGTGGTGGACGGACCTGTGGGGTGCGGAGTGCTTAGCACAGGACAGGCTCAATGAGCAGTGGGGAGTATTCAGCCTGACATGTTTCTGAGAAGTCCACAGAAGCTATGCCTATACATCTTCTCTGGTGTTCCCTAGGTAATCACACTGGATTCAAGCAATCCAGGAAATTCCCCTAGGATAGGCACATCAATAAGAATGTTTCATTTTTTTTATTTGACAAGAATATATTGATTCCCACCTTGTGTCAGGTTCTGGGACCATCAAACCAAACAGGACCCAGTTCCTAGTTCCTACCGAGTGCCTGGTCTAGTCGGTTAAGATGAACAGGTGTCCCGACAGGTCATCCATGGGAGTTGAACACGAGGGCTAGCCATGAGGACCTCTGAGAATATTAATCACTGTCAACCTTTCTCATCCCTTCGTGCTGTACATATTATTCCACCCCCTCTCTTTTCCCCTGTGGTCTGGCCTCCTCCAACACCCACCTGCCTCGCACAGTCACCTTACTAATCAAGTCGTCAGCAACCATTAGCTGGGTGGAGATGATTACACCAAGGACATCTGATTGTGACATTTTCCCAGCCAGCTTCTGTCTGAGGACCTGGCCTATATTTTCTTCCTATCAAGCACTGGGCCCAGGAGAGGAGCTGTTATCTTATCTGGGTACCCAACTCCCTGTGCCCATTGAAGGGATGGAACTGGTTATCCATCAAAGATACTTCTCTGAACTTGAAGGTAGATTCAAAGAACTGGAAGTCCAAACTGTCAGAAATAGAAAATGTCCACAGTGATTGTCTCATTCAACGTCTTCATTGCATAGAGGAGGAAAGGGAGGTCCGAAGAGGCGAAGTGGCTCATTGAATGTTGCAGAAAGAATCATGGCAGAGCTGGGATCAGAACAGGGGTGGGAAAAGCTGAGGGACAACAGGCATTTGTAATGTTGAGCTACACATTTTCATAATTTTATCCACGGAGAAAACCTCCTTTCCTTGCATTTTATTTTAGAACTATAAAATTCCAAACCATGAGAACCCCTTAATATTTTTTATGTAATATGATTGTCACTCTCTTACTCTCTAAGTTGCCTTTCCGATTTAATGACAAAATCCCTCCAACCAGGAACAGGAAAATGGCTTAACATACTGTAGACCTAATATGTGCTACATACTATTTTAGGCCATTTTATGAGACAGGATCCCTCTGAGTGGAGAGGTCGTGTGACTTGTCCGATGTCATGGGGTCAGGAAATGAACCTGTCTGACTCCAAAGCCCCTGTTGCTGCCCCTATACCTGCCAGGCAGTAGGCATCTGTCACTTCATTGCTCAGAGAAGAGATGCTTCACATGTCCAGGGACTAGCACACAGTAGACCCTCAATAAATAAAGGGCAACTCCCTCTGCCCTTCTCTGTGGGTGTCAAGAATAGATTGGAGTCATTTTTCTTGTGGATATTTAATTAAATTGGCTGTACATTCATATGCATAATATAAGATACAAAAGTTTAGTGTATGGGACTATATTTTTATTGATTGTGGGGAATATTATGAAGTTTATCCCTATATGATCCTGCTTTTGTCAGTAATTTTTGCATAGGCATTTTCCTGAAAGAGAAAGCATCCTTGAAAAATATCCAATATTGGGAAGTGGAGTTTGAATTCTATTGAGCAGACTTTTGTATTCTGGAAAATTGTGCAGAAGCAGGATCATTTTATATCCTAGGACAGCAGCACCTCAGCCTGTCCAGGAAACTATCCCAGGCTCTCAGGGGTCTGGCTCCACGTTCTGGACTTTCCAGTCTTTAAATTGTCACAGAACACTGTAGAGGGACCAGGAGTCAGGAACTCTGGATTGCTCTACATCAGAAATGACTCACTGAGATTTTTTTAAGTTATAAAAGAAACGGGCTGCGATAGAACTTTTAATTAGCCTAAAAGCCTACTGAAACAGAATATTCTGAAGGCCACTTTCATTTTAGACACAAGAGCATCAGGGTTGTGCAGCAGTCTAAAGCTATCTGTACCAGGAGACTAAGGTCACCTAGCATTGATGCTTGAGAGAACCTTATTCATACTATGGCCCGAGCTGTCATTTTATAGGCGTGCAAACTAGACCCAAAGACAAGTTACACACAACAGGACTGGGAGAGAACCAGGTAAACAAATGCTACTGGGCAGTTGTTTTAGATTGTTCTTTTTATGCTGTAAAAAAAATCTGAGTTTCTGTTTGCAGATAAAAATAGAGTTTAACAGGCACAAGTCTTATGGTTTCATTTGCCTGCTTGGAACTGTGTCCATGCTCTCGCCTCTGCCTGGAGAAGGCTTCCCTCGCCGCTCTGTAATTAACTCCCACTCAGCCTTGGGATCAAGCTGTACTTTCTCAGAGAAGTCTCGTCTGAGCTCCCTAACCAGGCAAAATGTACATATCCAGGGGACCTGGCATCCTTTCTTCGTAGCTCTGATCACAGATGTGTCTTAACACTTGTTTACTGCATTATTCAATTGTTTATTCTCCCTACTTAATTGTGTAAAATCTAACATAGTAAAGATGGTACCTAGAACAAAATCGATGAATGAATGAAAATCAGACATAAATGTTACTCCCAGACCTTCCAGACTGGCCACGTTCACCAGGGCCTGGTCCTGGTCTCAGGCTGCTCGGTCTCCTATAGCCAGTGTAATCCCAGGCCCCTTTCCCTGGACAAAGTCAACAGAAGGGGCTGGAGAGAGAGTTGTAGCAGCTAGAGAAAAAAGAGAGGCTACAGTTCCTGAGTCAATTCCTCTGGAACAGAGAATTCCAGGACTTGGTAAAGAATAAAGAAAACTGGAATGAGGGACAGAGTCTGGTTTGTGGAGCCCCAGGTTCAAAGGCAGCACAGCAGTCAAGGTGACTTTCTGCATGTGTCCCAGGGTGACTCAACAGAGCTAGCTTAGAGGCAAACGTGAGATTGCCTGTTGTTTCTTCTTCCTCCATTGGTCTGTGCATTTGCCAAAAAGTTTGTCTTCTGTGCTCACGCCCCCGGCCCATGGGGTTGCTTTGAACAGCAGTTGTCTTGTTACCTATATTTTTAATATGTGTGTTTACAGTTTCTAGTTATAAAAGTTCACCCCACAGCCTGGTTGGTGTGGTTTAGTGGTTGAGCATCGACCCATGCACCAAGAGGTCACCGGTTTAATTCCTGGTCAGGGCACATGCCCAGGTTGTGGGCCCGATCCCCAGTGGGGGGCATGCAGGAGGCAGCCAATCAATGTTCTCTCTCATCAATGTTTCCATCTCTCTCTCCCTCTCCCTCTCTCTCTAAAAAAATCAATAAAGAAAAAGAAAAGTTCACCCCACAGCCTCTAGAGTTAGCAAAGCAACAGAGAAGGACAAGCTGTTGAGGAAGGGCGACTGGCCTTGGGACGCAGATGCTCGTCCCAGGAGGCTCGCCTCCCTCTCGCAGGCCTCTCGCTTACTAGGAAGGCTTTCTCACCAGGACCGACCCGGAAAACGTGCATTTGCTTCAGGGAGTCCTCGCCTTTTCCCTCAGGCCTTTACCTTTTGAATGAGAAACGAAATCCATTCAGCCACCATGGGTTCAAGCCACTGACACAGTAGCAGGGACAGTGTCTTGTGATCCTGCGGAGCGGATCTGATTTCATACTTCTTTCAACATCACTTTGAGTTAACTTACATTCAGAGAACAGGCTACCATGAGGACCTCATCATGGCCAAACCCTCTCCTCAGACTAATCAGAGGGCAGGCAAGAAGCATCCTTCAACCTTCAACGCTCCACCCTCAGACTGCTGACTTGCAGAGGGAAATCTAATCAATGCCCAGGGACCCGACCCTGGGATGGCACCAGCACACGAGGCTTGCTCATGTCCACGTCAACCTGTCCTGAGAATTAAGAGTAAGACAGGAAGGCAGTAGAGTTTCTGATGAAAAAACATGGACCAAATAAACAAATAGGAAGTCACTAAATTGCATTCAAAGCTTTATTCTTGCCAAAGTTTGGGGTTTGCGCTAACTCTGGCAGGCTGCCTTAACAAATAAGCAAAGTGAGGAGGTGAAGCAGTGAGGTTCTACATCACTGAGAAGACCGGGCAGAGGCAGGGGCTGGCGAAGTTGCAGAAGGTAGATCAGGCAGTGAATTCGGGAGCAGAGCTTCTTTTCTGGGTTTAACAGCAGCAGTCATCCTCGTGATCACAGCATGCAGGACCTCGGGATCTCATGGGAATAATTCCCAAACAATGGCACCCAGAGCAGCAGCCGCACCCGGAGCTACAGCACCCGGAGCTACAGCACCCGGAGCTACAGCAACCAGAATTCTCACAGCAGCCAGATGATCCTGAATTGCAGTCTTGAGGCCGTACGACCCAGCGTCTCAGGGGACTCACCCCGAAGGTCCGGGGAGCCAGACAGCAGTAGCTGATGGAACAGGGAGCAGAGCATGGATCAGGGACACAGGACTGGGCGGCTGAGCCACCTGCAGAAGACTGAACATAGTAGGTCTGGGAAGAAGGGTACTGGACATATGTCTGGCAGGGAGTTGGGCATTTCACACTGGTTGTCTGGCACGGAGCTGGGCATTTCACGCTGGTTGTCTGGCATGGAGCTGGGCATTTCACACTGGTTGTCTGGCACGGAGCTGGGCATTTCACGGTGGTTGTCTGGCACGGAGCTGGGCATTTCACACTGGTTGTCTGGCACGGAGCTGGGCACTTCACATATGTCTGGCAAGGAGTTACACACTTCACATAGGTTTGAGTCGGGCATGGAGCTGGGCATTTCACATAGGTTGTCTGGCATGGAGCTGGGCATGCCACATAGGTTTGAGTCGGGCATGGAGCTACATATTTCACATAGGTTGTCTGGCATGGAGCTGGGTATGCCACATAGGTTTGAGTCGGGCACGGAGCTGGGCATGTCACGCAGGTTTGAGTTTGGCATGAAGCTGGGCCACCCACAGAGGTAACTGAGGTACTTTGCGCAGCCCCCAGTCCTGAACCTTTCACACAAGATGGAGGGAACTGCACCTGCTTCTGCTGGTCACACATCTTTTGGTGCCTTTGCAAAATCTGAAAAGAAAGTTTTCATAAGAACGAGGAAGATTTCCAGGGGCACCTGCAGCATCCCCTTTGGATAGAGTGGTCTGTAAGCAGTAGCCCTTCAGGAAGGTCACAGGTGCCCAGAAGCTGTCAACCTGGCCTTCGGGTGGACTCAGCCACCTTAGGCTCAGCCCTTGTTCTTGTATCTGGCTCTGTGACTTCGGATAAGTCACCACTCACCACTCTGCCTCAGTTTCCACAATGGAAAATGAAGGGCTCAAAAGAGCTATGCCTGCGTTTCTTCCCAACTCCCTAAGCCTCCTCTCCCCTTACTCACTTAGTGTCTGCATTATGAATTCTTCTTGGGAAAGTGTTGTCTCTCATGGATTTTACCTTGCCCATCAGTTCTTTCAGGAGCAGCTCCTGCCCAGCCAGGCATTCCCAGGGAAGGCAAATTTATGTCAACAGAGCCCAAGCCAACATGAATCTCAAGCTGAGTCTGACAGAGCCTAACAGGCCAAATCTGAGTAAGTTTCCACCATTTTCTCTTTGGATCAGCTAGACTATCACTTTACCTCATCAATGGACCCAAGAGAGGACTGCACAGCGGCACTCGGAGAGAGAGGACGGTGACCTAGTTCTCTGAAAACCCCTTTCTCATAGGCCTGATGGCTCAAACCACACCTGTCCCTCTCCTCCAAACCCTCCAGGCTCGTTTCATGCCAGCTATTGCCATCAGCTTTCTTCAGTGGCTGCCCTCAGTGCCCAGTCCCGACCACCCTCATCCCACAGTTCTCCACGTCCACTCCATCAAGGCTCTTTGTCATCATATGCTGTTATCCCAGGCACAGAGACTTACCTTCTGCTGACAGGAGCAAGACTGGAAGAAGCCAGTGATCTGAGGGACCAGCAGTTGGTGAGACCTTTTATAGGGCAATAGTGAAGCAATTTAATGGCATCTGAATGAAGCACCAGCGATCACGAGGACAAGGGCTGGCATTGCATTGGTGAGATTCCTCCCTAGTATGCCTGGCTCTTCAGTCATAGGCTGGGCATGTCTCTGCTTGACTTGAATTTACTTAAATATGAGATAAATGATTCCTGTTACCTTCTTTATGAAACAAGTCTGTCCTCTTTGACTAGAAGTTAGGAGAGATGTCTATGAGATCTGTCCCCATGAAACTGTTTCGAGGTCACTTTAGTCTTCAAGGACTCGTCTAAGGTGTGGTTAGTGGTTCAATTTTTCATACTCTGTGCCAAAAGCTACACTACATCTTCCCAGACTAAATGGCATGTTCTTTCTAAGGACTTCGATGATGGCTCCTGCTGGTCTGGGCTACTGCACATAAAGAGTTTGGCTCAGTGGTCTCTGCCTCAATCTAGCAGCAAGGCCTTCAAGAAATGGTTCATTCCAAGGAATGACAGGTTATTCTAAGTTTATTTGGGAAACTAGGTGAGCTGTTGATGATCCCAGACCCCAGGATCTGTATCTAGGCTCTTTCCTCACCTTCTCAAGCCCTGTGACCTCCGTCAGCCTCACCTTTCTGAACCCCATTACCATGCCTAGACCTCCAAGAGCACAGTACAGGGAACATTCCAGCCAAATTAACACTATGTGATAATAATAATAGTAGAATCTAACATTTAGTTGAATTCTCTTTATGTGCCAAACAGTCCATGAGACACATACATTTACAGATGGCCCTGTCGCTGAGGCCCCGAAAGACTAAGGAAGTTACCCACTATCACAAGCCAGTAAGTAAAGAAGCTAGAATCTAAATGCAAACAGTTGGCTTTCATAAGCTATGATCTTTATCACTATAATACATTGACTTTTACCTCTGGATATAGCATTGTCCCTGAATCTCTGCCTCCTTCCCTTTTCTCAGTGCAGTGTATGTAGGAAGAGAGGTAGAAACAACACGTCGTCTATGTTTGCCGTAGTTTTACAGAAAAGAAAATTAAGACCCAAAGGCCTTTTCCACCAAGGTCATCCCATTGGTAGGCAGGGTTGAGGGGATCATCCAAACCCAAACCTGTCTACTTCCGGAGCCCCACTCTTGCCACCAAGCCGTGTTGTGTTGCCCAAGGTAGAAGGTTATCTTGCTCCCGAGCCTAGCACTGGTCCCAAATATCCACGCACTCAAATCAGCCAGCCCAGGCCCCAGCACGACCCCATGACCTCTCAGGTGAAAGGTGCTTCTGCATTTGTCCATAATGGATCCCCAAATTCCCCAGGACCCATAAGCCCTAAGGTTCCAAAATTTCCTAAATGAAAAGAAAAATAAACACAACACAAACCCAACTACTTCTTAGACACTTCCCACTCCAACCCAGGTCTTTCAAGGTCCATCCCTGAATAATTTGAAGAAGGCAAGAAGGGGAGATTCTTCCCAGGCCTGGAAAGGTCCCTGATTCCTCCTGTGACCCGTGCTTCTGGGAGGCTTGTAACACTCCGTCGCTTCCTCTGTGAAGCCCGCCAGCCCCTCTCCCCAAAGGGTGGTGTTTGTGTGAAGGAGGCGGTTTCAGGCCATTCCAGTGCCTGCTTTTCCCAGTGCCCACCCCCCCACAGTGGACACCCAGGCCTGCTGTTTCACAGAGGAAATGGAAAAGGGGTGATCTTTTACTGGGGCCAGACACTTCACATGGGAAAGCTTATCAAATATAGTCCCTTTAAGAGTGCCTCAAATGAATAAGTAAACAAACAAATAAACGTGCCCAATCTCACTCAACTAGAAGCAATAGATTCAGAATTTGAACCCAGGTGTAGGAGACTTCAAATGTGACTGTGTTTTCCACCATAACATGCTGCCTCCAGTATTAAAATCCATAATGTTTTAGGAGCCGTACCTTTCAGCCCCTAACAGACACAGCTAAGAAGCCCACTCTCTTACAGGTGGGATGAGACAGCCCCACCTCACAGGGAAGAAAATGCCCTAGAAACCAGCCATTTTGGGGCGTGTCAAACAAGAGCCAATTCAAGGCACAAGGACTAAGCCCTTGTCCTGATTCTGCCACAGCCTCACAGAGCGACTCCACTGTGCCCTGCTGTCTCTTCCACACTCAATCATTTTTATTTAATGTATTGGGGTTAATAATATAATTTTCAGATGTACAAGATTGTAATTCAACATCTGTGTATTCTATTATGTGCTCCTCACTCGAAGTTTTGTCTTCTTCTGTTATCATATATTTGACCCCCTTTACCAACTTTGCTCACCCCTGCCCTTCTTCCCCTTTGGTGACCCCATTCTGCTGTCTGTATCTATGAGTTTGTTTTAGTGTTTTATTAGTTTCCTTGTTACTTTTTTCATATTCCACATATGGGTGAAATGATATGGTTTTTGTCTTTTATCTTCGATTTATTTCACTTAGCATAATACTCTCAAGATCCATTCTGAGTCACAAATGCCAATATTTCATCTGAGCAGTATTCCAGTATATACTACATCTTCCACTTGAAAATAAAGAGTCAGACGACTGGGGACAGTCTATGATTGTAGAAGTCTGTTCAACAAAGGAAATGTACATTTCCACACCCTAGTTGCTTATGGAGTTATTCCCACTAGACTATAATTCTGTGCACTGGTAACTGCACATTGACACATTCACTATATACCACCTGGCTCCAGCATAGAACCTGGGGACCACTGACTAGACAAACCAAAATGGATGAATAAAAGGGATACTTTACACTGACAGTACAGCCTAGACCAGCTTCCTTCCCCCGTGTGGTAAGAGGCCCATTCAGCTATTAGCCAATCTGTCTGTCCTGTGCCATCTGAGAGCTCTGATGGGCTCACTTCCTGCTCTCTGGGGTCAGGCTCTCACTAATGGGTTTGAGATCTTCAAGCCGCAGTATCATCCCGGGTGAGAGATGCTGCTTTCATGTGCCACTAAAACAGGTGGGTGGATTGTGCCCCACCCATTTTATAGGCTGGGAAGGCAAGGCATGGCAAAGTCAGATGACTGGTACAAGTGCCAGGGTGAATCACAGGGCTATCTTCAAACCTATCTTTCTCTTTGGACACAAGCTCATAGAATCAGAGACTTGTGGACTCATGTAATTCATGCAATAGTAGTCCAGTAGACTCACGGGGTAAGAGGGACAGAGAGCCATTAATTCACAGAATCAGAATTCTGGCATCTCTGAGGTGGAGAGGACTCATGCATATTATTGATCTGGTCCCTGCCAGGAGAGATAGGTCATCTGACCTAAAGGGCTGTTCTTCGTAGGAAGATTTCCGGTCTTTAAAAGTTATCTGCAGTCCCTCTGGTCAGCTCATTTTAAAACTTACTATCATCTTCATAGTTAGGAACTGTATACTAAATTATCTCTAAGGTCCCTTGTAGCATCAGCACCTACAAATCCTACAAACATGAATTACATGTTTGAAGCTGAGCTCCTCAGTGTATGAACCAAACCAAGATTTTAACTCAATAGTACCACGAGCCCCAAACAGGAGATCAAAGGGGCAGGTGCCCAAGTCCACTTGTGGCTCCCTGATGAGAGGGCCTGGGTCTCCTCTCATCCTGGGAGCTTCCTTTGACCAGGAACTGAACGTTCTCTGAGGACAGAATCTGGGTCCTTCCTTTTTTGTGTGTGAAAACAAAGTGGAAGGAAGTGAGAAGTCACACACCCAGGAGAGAGAGGACTCAGGAACATGCATCCAGTAAGAAATCTCACTTCTGTGTCTGAGACTAGAAGATAAGGCACAGCCCCACCCCCCCTTAGAGCCCGTGTCTGTGCTGCCTCTGTCCTGGGTTCAACTCTGAGATTCGCCCCAGAGCCCCTGCACCAGCATTTCAGGGATAATCACGGATTTCTCCTAAATTAACAAGACATTATATTGTAGAACCACCGAATGGACAGCTGGCAAGCACCTTCACAGGCATTGGGCTCAGCCCTTATGCTGTAACAGGCCCAAGGGAAGAAACTTGTTCAAGGCCATACAACCAGGTAGGAGCAGACTCCAGACAGGAATTTCTGAATCTCCTCCAGGGCACAG